GCTTGCAAAGGCATGCCATGCCTGACACTTCACCTTTTTTTTGCTGCATCTTTTGACGTTATGTCATGCAATCTTTAATGAAGCATGTTTGCAGAGCAACTTTGGTTTGCCAAGAGACTTTCTTGTTGGGGGACACCAAGTCTGTAAGTGGCGCCCCGCACGGTCTGCTTGCTGGCGCAGTGTTTTCTTGTCAGATTGCTTTGTTGTTCAGGCGTTCTGACACGGAAGCCTTCCGATTGATATGCCTTTCCTGTTGAAAACTTGGAGCTCTCCACAGCCATATACATCGAACCTTTTTGAAGCCTCAGTCTGCTGTCCACGAGGTGCAAGTCATGACAGGCTTGTGAAGCCATGCCATGATTGCCACTTCCCGTCTTCACTGCCGTGTCTTTTGACGTTATCTCATCCAGTCTGAAAGGAAGCATGATTGCCGAGCATCTTTGGTTTGCCAAGAGCCATTCTTGTTGGGGGACACTAAGTCACTTGTTTCCTTTGTGGCACAGTGCTTTTTCCTATCAAACCTTTTGAGTGAGATATGCGGTGTCATTGCTTTTGGATCCCCGATAAGATTTGCACTAGAGAAATCTAGAGTATGACTGGCCTTTGGCAGTCATTTTGTAGTAGTTTGACTTTTTGGGCAGCCCAGCCATTTTGGGCAGCCCAGCCATTTTGTAGTCAGTGTGTGATTGATCACAGTCGACGATGCAGCTGAAAAGCAGTAAAATAGACGTTTGGCACTGCACATAATTGCCGCTCACAGATTCCACTGCATTTTGTAGCCAAAAAGTCACCTGAAACTTGAGTCCCCTCATTCTCTAGACCCTAAACCTCACCCTCTACTACAAAATGCAATGTACAACGTCACCCGGTGAATTGACAAAAGGGATGCTTCTAGGCAGATCCGGATTGGCCTCCGGCCTACCAGAGAGTTAGGTTCCATCCAGTCTGGAAAGCATGGTCATGGTAGACAAACTTTGATTTGAAAGCCTCGCGTGCTGGCAGCCCGCATGCGTCAATAGCGATCCCAACTCCTCCAAAGGTAGCCACGCGCAACACCTCCGAACAACACTCCCAGACGTTGCACGGGCATCGTGGTGGATCAACTCCATGGTTTGCCAAAAGCCTTTCTCGCTTGGGGACAGTAAGTCAATAAGGTATGCACCCAACTGGTTTGCTTGCTGGCAGAGTCTCTTTAATTGTCAAATATAATCGCTTCAGGGAGATGTGGGGTGTTGCTGCTTCCAAGCAGATCCAGATTGGCCTCCGGCCTAATTGCCAGACAGTTTAGTTTCATTGATCTGGTTTCTCAGAAAGCACCCTTGAAGTTGCAGATCAACTTGTGTTGAAATGTTGATGGCCGCCAAGTCACTAAGTCACTAAGTGGCGCTCCGCCTGGTTTGCTTGCTGGCAACGTGTTTTCCTGTCAGATGGCATTGCTGTTGAGGTGTTCTGACATTGAATTTTCCCGATTGATATGCCTTTCCTGTTGAACACTTGGAGCTCTCCACAGCCACATGCATCGAACCGCTGTGAAGCCTCAGTCTGTTGTCCATGAGGTGCGAGTTACGGCAGGCTTGCAAAGGCATGCCATGCTTGACACTTCACCTTTTCTTTGCTGTGTCTTTTGACCTTGTCGCATCCTCTTTCTAAGGAAGCATGATTGCAGAGCAACTTTGGTTTGCCAGGAGCCTTTCTTGTTGGGGGACACTAAGTCAGCTCTAAGGAAGCATGTTTGCAGAGCAACCTTGGTTTGCTAAGTGGCGCCCCGCTTATTTTTGCTTGCTGGCAGAGTGTTTTCTTATCAGATTGCTCGGCTGTTGAGTGTTCTGAAATTGAAGCTTCCCGATTGATATGCCTTGGGTCATTAAACAATTATCACTATTTTTGAACAAGGCCTTCATTAGCCATGATCATCCTCTGTTACAGGTATTGGGATAGACCCAAGATATGCCTTTCCTGTTGAACACTTGGAGCTCTCCACAGCCACATGCATCGAACTGCTGTGAGAGTTACGACAGGCTTGCAAAGGCATGCCATGCTTGACACTTCCCGTCTTCACTGCTGTGTGTTTTGACGTTATCTAATCCAGTCTGAAAGGAAGCAGGATTGCCGAGCATCTTTGGTTTGCCAAGAGCCTTTCTTGTTTGGGGACACACACGAAGTCAGTAAGTGGCGCCACGCCTGGTTTGCTTGCTGGCAGAGGGTTTTCTTGTCAGATTGCTTTGCTGTTGAGGCGTTATGACATGGAAGCCTTCCGGTTGATATGCATGTCCTGTGCACATGTTGCACCTCTCCACGGCCACATGTATCGAACCGCTGTGAAGCCTCAGTCTGTTGTCCAGGAGGTGCAAGTTATGACAGGCTTGCACAGGCATGCCTTGCTTGACACTTCCCGTCTTCACTGCTGTTTGTTTTGACGTTATCTAATCCAGTCTGAAAGGAAGCATGATTGTCGAGCATCTTTGGCTTTCCAAGAGCTTTTCTTGTTTGGGGACACGAAGTCAGTAAGTGGCGCCACGCCTG